TTCATGTACTAGATATTAATCAGCATCTGCTTTCTATACAAGCTGTTATTGTTTCTCTCTCCAGTTTTTACCTAACTGAATTTTCCTTTAGAACACTCCACTACAGGTAATTCTCAATTTACAACCATTTGTTTAGTGACCAAAGTTAAAACAGTACTGAAAAAAGGTACCATATTTTTTGGACTATAAGATGCACCGGTATATAAGGCACCCCAAGATTTCGAAGAGGTAAGTAAGAAAAAAAAAGTTTTTGCCTTTCCTGCCCCCCAGGAGCATTCTGCAGGCCATCCAAACCCTCTGCGTGCTCCGTTTTTCAAAAAACAGGCCCATTTTTCACTCATTTTTGTGAAAAACAGGGTGCGCAGAGGGTTTGGGAGGCCTGCAGAGTGCTCCTGGGGGCTGGGGAAGGGCAAAAATGCCCTCGTTTTTGCAAAAAACGGGTGAAAAACAGGGTCGTTTTTCGCAATAACAGCGGAGTTTTTGCCCTCCCCAGCCCCCAGGAGCACTCTGCAAGCCTCCCAAACCCTTTGTGCACCCTGTTTTTGTGAAGGCCCATTTTTCACAAAAATGGGACAAGCGGGGCGGGGCTTCGGGAGGCCAAAAATGGCTGTTTTTGGTGTATAAAACACACCAACATTTCCACCCTCTTTTTTTGGGGGGGGGGGAAGTGTGTCATATACTCCAAAATTTATAACTTTAAGTTATAAAGTACTTTAAAACAGTACTTATAACTGTTTTTCACACATCTGTTGCAGCATTCTCATAGAGACATGATCAAAATTCAGATACTTAGCTTCTGGAATGTATTTATGATGGTTGCAGTGTCCCTGGAACACGTGATCACCTTTTGCGATGTCCTGACAAGGTAACTCAATGGGAAAGGAAGATTCATGTAACCTGTTACTACCTTAACAACTGCATTGAGTCACTTAACAAGCCAGAAAGGTGATAAAATGGGGCAAAACACATTTAACAATTGTGTTGCTTAGCAATGGAAATTTTGGCCTCAATTGTGGTTGTAAGTCAAGGATTTACAGTCTGTGCCAGCATCCCCCCCCCCCCCCCACCAAATCAAATCACAATACCAAGCTATGTTGTTCAGGCAAAATAGAAAATAGAATGGCCTTCTTGTAGAAGCCACAAAAATCTAATTTATTCAGAACAGAGGGCAAAAAAGGAAATAATAAACACTGTATTAGAATCTGCTACATAAACTTCAAAATCTGTTGGGAGATATGAAGGCACAATGACAGATTTCCCTATTTTAATTAAGCCAACCGATTCTTTCCTTTCCTGTCTTTCTATCTGCTTGGATACTTAATATTCAATATTATGGACAGATCTGAGATATATGGATAATAAGAGAAAAGATAATGGTAAAACATGGCAAGCACAATGAAGCAAGGAGTCTTACTCTCTATTACCAAAGGCCTGGGTAAAGAGCCAGTAAATTTGCTGGATTTCAGTTTAGCAGTCTGGAAATCTCTTTACCATTTTACATGTGATGAATTCCCATTCACATATGTATATAATAAACAATATACATACAATGCATCATGTACTAACTTCAATCAATAGTATGTGTTTTCAGACAGGGTTTACTTGTGCCTGTTCAGAAACTAGATCTCTGATATGTTTTTATTAAACATTTCTAATAAATGTTTTTTGGGAGTGCTGTGGCTCTGTGGTTAAAAACGCTGAGCTTGTCAGCTGGAAAACTGACAGCCCAGCTTTTAGACCTATGTGCTGTGCAGTGGGGTGAGTTCCCTTACTTGCCCTAGCTCTTGTCCACCTAGCAGTTTCTAAGCATGCAAATGCAAGTAGATAAATAGTAGCACTATTGGTACCTATTTATAGTGGGAAGGTAACAGCGTTCCCTGCCCCTTGGTGTATAGTGACACTGGCCACAACCACAGAAATGTCTTTGGACAATGCTGGCTCCCTCAGCCAAGAAACAGAGATAAGCACTGCCCCCTAGAATCAGACACAATTGGACAGGGGAAACCTTTACTTTTTAACTTTACCTTATTAGACATTTCAGATAAATATATAAACAAAAGGAAAAAACAAAAGGGACAAAAAAGTAAGCAAGGGATTTACAAATGATTTAGGGATGATTATTTTCCAGAATATGTGTATGGAGATTCTCAGTCATCAAGTCATGGTTGCTCCAAAGATGCTTTTTCAACTGGACTTTGTGTTTCTTTGAAGATGTTTTGTTTTTCATCCAAGAAGCTTATTCAGCTCTGACTAGATGGAGAGGGAATGGGAAGATTTATATTCTTTGCAGACAGCTGCTCATTTGCATTCTTTTAGAGAGCTGTTGAGGCCATTTGGAAGTTTATCTGTGTCCTCAGGATCACCTGAGTAGTGCAAATGGATGGGGAACCTTCTTGGAACTGCAGAAAGGACTATATTGTAGACTGGAGATGGCCTCAATAGCTCTCTAAAAGTTCTTCAGTCAGAGCTGAAGAAGCTTCTTGAATGAGAAACTAAACATCTTAAAAGAAACACAAAGTCCAGTTGCGTCTTGAAAAAGCACCTTTGGGTCATGTGGATCTTGGATTTTTATTAATGTATAACTATCCCATTACAAAATTCTTTACTAGTCAAATCATGTGCTATATTCACAGCATAAGAAACAAGGAGAAAAGGTAGCAACAAATATTCATAAATAGAAGGTAGGAGGAACTTGTTGAGAATGTTTTTTCTTCAAAACACTTTAAAATATGGACTCATTTATAAATACCAATACAGAAAGGATGATCTCAATTTCCCATCCATTTTCCAAATAAAATCCATACAAAATCATAGAGTTGGAAGGGAAATTATCTAGCCCGACCCTTGTTCAAGTGCACCATTTCTGAAACAGGATTACTACTGCCTCAATTCAAAGTCAGAGAAGATCTTCATGAGAAATTTTGTTCCAATACTTGACATCTCTTACAGTCAGGAATTTCTCCTGATCCCTATTCTGAACTCCTTCCTTGACAATTTAAATTATTGGTTCTGGTTCTGCCTTCTCAGGCAATAAATAAGTCTGCTCTATTTCTCTATGGCAATTCTTCAAATGTTTGAAGACTGTTTTCCCATCCCCCCCCAAGTCATTTTTTAAGGTAAACATACAGATTCTCTAATACTGTATGTTTACCTTAAATATTGGATCCAGACCCTGCACTACCTCGACAGAACTCTTCAAACTTGTTTTAATTTGTTACTGTCCTTTTGAATTGTAGTGACCCAAAATGGATACCAGATTCCAATCGAGGTCTCATTAGGGCATTGGCTGTTAATATGTTACCCAACTGTCTCTTCAGCAGTGGCCCACAGACTGGCGCTCATGCCCAAATTTTGTAAAATGCTGCTAAATGAAACCTCCTTTCCGTTTTCTTCCGCTTCGTTTTCCTCACGAGCCCCAACACCACCACTACCAATTTTCTACAAAAGCATCTTCTCGGAGCTCTATCCCGAAATTGTCAAAATATCCCAGAATTCGCGATTTCTTTCCGAAATCCCCAAGATCGACCCCTCTTGCACAGTTATTGCAATTGCCACCATCGAATCGGCAAACCCCTATTGAGCACTCGGTAAAGGGATTTTCCCCATCTGATCAGAGGGCCTTCGTTGAAATAGCCTACGTTTGCAGGCTAATTCGGCTGACCGCCGACTGGTAGCGGTTCGGCAGTTCGAGTCTCACCGGCTCAAGGCTGCTTCAGCCCTCCGTCCTTCGGAGGTCCGTAAAATTGAGGTCCCAGATTGTTGGGGGCAATAGGCTGACTATGTAAACCGCTTAGAGAGGGCTGTAAAGCACGACGGGGCAGCACATAAGTGTTAAGTGCTATTGCTACCTCTCTAAAGATTCTGCCACGGAGGAGGCGAGCAAGCGCTTTTTTGCAGCTCGAAGACCCATCACTCACCCTCGGTGTTGCCCTGAACTGCCTTCATCCCTCCGATGATGGTGGGGGGGAAAGGGGGTAAGTGACCCTGCCGCTTTCCCTCATGTAGAGCTGCCCCAGCCAGACAGGCACCCTCCCTTGGTGAGAAAGGGGCGGGCCCACCAAAAGCAGCCTCCCTGAGTCCCGACTACTGCAAAGCAACCGCCATCCCACCACCCGCCACGCGAGACCTCCCTGCTCCTCCTCCTCCTCCTCCTCGGGCTCGAAACATGATAAATGTGGAGCAGGAAGTCGTGCGAGAATCCCGTGTGGCAGCCAATGCAAAGGCAGGATGGCAACTAATTCTCGCGAGATTTTAAATCGCCCGTTCCCCCCCTTCCTCCGCCTGTGCTATTAAATTCCTCGTTGAAGGAGCGACTGCTTTAAACGTCCATAGCAGATGGCAACTTTTCCCCCGCCCCCCCCAGCTGTTTTCAAGTACAGAATGCTTCTCCATAAAGTGTCATTCTTTTCCCCTCACGTATGATCCTGGCAGGATGTCTCGTTTCTAAGTCGCTTAATAAGCATGTATTGAGAGAAAAGGCAAGGGAGGGGGGCGCCATTTCTAAATCAATTTGTTTTTATTCCTGAGGAAATAAATCACGTTTTTGTAGAAAAAAAACAAAAATATCCGCAGCTGCCTTTGTGATAAAATTTAATATATTTCGTAGCAGGAAATTAGAGTGGTGTAGGATCGCATAAAAGTGTTACAACACATGTAAACTACGATTTCACTTCACCCCCGCCCCCCACTGTTGAGAGGAACAATGATTCCCGGAAAGCAAACTTCTTCCCCCCCCCCCACCCCGGTCTTGTAGGTTTTTCAAAAACAAAAGTTTTTAGGCCATCCACGCTTTGAGGTGCATGGGGGAAAGAAGCCCAGATCCCGCGAGAACATAGCAGCAAATCTCGCCTAAAAAAAAAAAAAACCCATCAGGTCAGAAACCGGGATAACCTCCGTCCCATCCCTGATCTCTAGGCAGGCGTCGCGAGACTTCGCAAAGCTCGGGCTGTGCGGGAACGCGTGCGCCTGCGTGAGAGCGAGTGTACGCGCACGCACGCGCGTGTTCTCGCGGTATTTGGAGAAATAGGAGCAGGTAGAGAGGAGTTGGGGGAAAGGAACCTCCGCGGTATACCAAAAGAAGCCACGGCGTCGGCAGCTCAGAGGACGGCAACGTGGGCGATTATTTTTTCGTATTCTCGCGAGAATTGGTGGCTAACCTTCTTCCCTCCTCACTTTCCTGCCTTCCTCTTCCCTACCCCTCCCCCCCCTCAATCTGGAAACAGCGCCGTTTCGGTCTGGGAAGTAGGTAAAAAAAAGATGGGACCCTTGACTTGGGGAACTCGCTAGAGATTCAGGTTGAGGAAGGGGGCGCCCCCTTAGTCGAGGATCTTGGGTTGGTCACGGGCCTCCGGGATTTGCTCAGTGAGCGAGGCCCCGGGTCGGGCTGGAAGTGTATACAGTCAGCCCCTCAGGAAGTTAAGGAGAAAGCAAATGAATTCAGTCCCCACTTTCATTTTGTAGGGACTTTAGTTGGTGGCAAGGCAACCTTGACCCAAGGCAGCCCGCTGCTTAAATACTTTGAGAGACTACTCTTAGGGGACCCCTTTTTCAAAAATCTTGAAGTGACTAGTCCCCAAAACTTTTCTTTGGTTTTTTTTTGGGGGGGGGGCGTTAGTAAAGTTCAACTTCTTACCTATTTACAAACTGGGATTTTTGGGGGGCATATTTTACCCCTTTAATCCACCCTTTTGAGCAATTAATACCCTAAAAGTAGGAGTTAATTTAGTTTAGGAGTTAAGGAAGAGCAGGGGGCTTACTCAGGGGTTAAAACATCCTCTTTTCCCTTCCTACATGTGAAGTGTGAGATCAGAGGATCTTTTTGATAGAGTTGTTTTCCTCCAGGTGAAAGGCAGCTCAACTCAGTTTCAGATTTATTTCTGAGGCAGCCTTATCTTACAACATTCTGCATGTGATTGCAGAATCAGGTATTCATAGAGCAACCCCATTTATCCTGGTAAAGAGACAAGGGTGGGTTGAATGTAGGACATAGATAACAAAGGAAAAAGTAGCCCTTCCATCGTAGGGGGAGGGGCTTGAAGAGTAGAATTTGGGCTTTTTGGAGGATTCCTCCCTCTTTTCAAGCACAGTGGAGAAGGAATGCCAAACCCAGAGAGACATGGGGGCAAGAAGGATACGGGAGGTGGGGGGTCTTTGCATCAAGATGCAGTGTCCAGCAGTGGGAGCTCAAACAGCAGAGAAAGGCATCGACTCTCCAAGCATAAAAGACACAGATCCAGGCATTCCAAAGATTCGCCGTTGGGGTCCCAAGAAGGAGGAGCACCTCTTGGCAGCATGATCAAGCCATTGGTAGAATATGACGATATCAGCTCTGATTCTGACACTTTCTCAGATGAAGCCGTCCTCAAGTTGGAACGTAGAGAAAATGATGAGAGGAAAGGGACATCAGACAGGAGTGATCGATTACATAGACATCGTCATCATCAACACAGGCGTGTCCGTGAATTGATAAAAAGTAAGCTGGGAGACAAGGAGAAGAGAATGGACAGAAACCAAGAGTCCTCAGGCAAGTTGAGTTCTAGTAAGGATAGACTATCTGGCACTTCCAAAAGGCTACATGAGGAGAATGATGACCACTCATCTAAATCATTCAAGAGCAGCAGCAAAGAGTCCCGCTCAGCCAAACTGCATAAGGAGAAGTCTAGAAAAGAACGGGAGGCAAAATCTGGTCACAAGGATCACAGTAAAAGTCATCGGAAAAGAGATGCCCCCAAAAGTTACAAGTCATTGGACAGTCCAAAGCGGAAATCCAGAAGTCCACACCGCAAGTGGTCAGATAGTCCTAAACAAGATGACAGCCCCTCAGGAGCATCCTATTCACAGGACTATGACAACAGCCCTCCACGCTCACATACATCCAGTAACTATGATTCATATAAGAAAAGTCCTAGTGTATCCTCACGACGACCATCAGTCAGCCCTCCATATAAGGAACCTGCTGCCTACCAATCCAGTATGCGTTCTCCCAGTCCTTATGGCAAGAGACAGCGGTCGGTCAGTCCATACAGCAGGAGGCGTTCATCCAGTTATGAAAGAGGAAGTGGGTCATACAGTGGAAGATCTCCCAGCCCATTCAATCGAAGGCGCTCCAGCAGTCCTTTTGTTTCCAAACGGTCTCTGAGTCGTAGTCCTGTTTCCAGGTACTGGTCTTCATATTTAAATCAGAATTGCTGAGCCTCCTAAGTACTAGTACACCCAGCCTGGCTAGATGGCTCAGTGGCTAATACACTGAGCTCGTTGATCAGAAAGGTCGACAATTCGAATCCCTAGTATAGGTGGTCTGTGTGAAGAGGGGTTGGACTAGATGACCTCCAAGATCCCTTCCAACTCTGTTACTGTTATACAATGTAACTAAAGGGGATAATGTCCCAGAATTGTTATTGTCTCTTAGAACAAAATGTTTTATATACCTCTGATTCATTAAGGGTAATCTTTCTCACCATGATGCAGCCCTATGTGTTAGATTATAATATTATTTTAAGATAGCATGCTTATGCTGGTGAGAATGGAGTTTGAGTCTAACACACTTGGCTTAATATTAAAGCAGGATGATTTAAGGTACAAACTTGTTTTTCAGTCTTCCAATATTGTATCCTAAGTAATACTTTCTATTTTACTGGAGAATAAGTTGAAAAGAAGCCAGGTCAGCCAATATAACACTGAATGATGGGGTATCATGCTAAACCATGATATGAAATAGAAACCTAGAGTATGAAAACTTAGTGCCAGTGAGCACTGATCTTGCATGTTTTTCAACATATTTTTTTGGTTTAATTTGTCAAGCCATCAAACTAAACTAAACTAAACTAAAATCAATGATAAAATCATGATCGGGATGAACTACAGATCATTAAAGATAGATAACATTACATTATAGTTAATGCAGATGGATAGCTTCTGTGTCAGGTGTGTAACTGAGAACCAGCTGCCAAGATTTACTGTTAATTGCTTTCATTGTGCTATATAGTCAGAGGTTATATAAATGTAGTCAGAAATTTCTGAAAACAAACTGCAGTTTAATCCATTCTTATGGTATTTTTTGTGGTTTTTATAAAATTAAAAAACTGGAAGAGGTGACAGAAAATGGCCTTACTAAATATGTAAACCAGTGTTGCAAGGAACTTTCTTCTTTAGCAAATTGAACTCAATTCAAAGAAAATGAGGTATATTTAATAATACACCATTTAAATATATAGTAGAAGTTTCAGGTTTTATCAGCCTTCATGACTTTCCATTTAGTTATGCTTGGATAGTTTTATCACAAATATTTTACTGGACTTTTCTTAAAATAGATAGACTTTTCATACACATTTAGATAAGCAACAGTTATTTGCTCAAAAATCATCTTTGATTTCAGCTTCTGATATTTATGAATACCATAAGGGAAGTCAGTATAGTTAAAATGTGTTCATATTATTGAACTATAATTTTAACAATTATTGAAACCCAAAAGCAGAAAGGAACTTTTAAAATAGACCTCTTTCCTATCAACATTTATCATTGATTCTAAACTTTATACTGTTGATCTTACTTCAAATAAGATTTCATTTTGTTAATACTTTGGAAGGTATTACTCTCTCTTTATAATATAAATATATGAAACTGCTAATACTGGTTATAACTAGGCATTACATAGTTAACATTTCCATGGGTAAGTTTCTATAATTTCTTGTTTACACTTTTTACTGCAGAACCTTGAAATTGAAGTAGGAGTATTTTCAGTGAAGCCGCTAGCACTCTGGCAGTGCTAAACAACAATCTTATCATATTGTTTTGACAATTCACAGAAGTCTGTCTCCTCTTCATGTTGTGAATTCTGGATGGTCTTCATGAAGTGTCTCACAGCTGCATTCTCCTCTCTATAATGAGATAGTTAATGAACGCGAGAGAAAGTATATAATCGTTAACATAAGGCATTTTATATGGAGGAAATGTTGTAAAACAAATATTACTAGGCAAGCTTCCCACCAAGTGTTGAAAGGAAAAATGGTGAACCCTGTATTTGGTTGGCTACATTTTGAATCCAATATTTTTTGTTCCTATTGTTAAGATGGTTGGTACTTCAAATCTTGGCAATTACTTTTAAATAATGTAGGACAAATGGAGTTGTTTCCTGCTAATTATGGGCCAAATATCAGGAAAGCATGTCCATGTCTATTAAGAAAGGATTGTTTAATATGTGTAAACATCTTGTAATCTAAAAAAATTAGATTCATAAGTTTAGAAAATTTATGAAAGTAACTTGGTTGAGTCTTTATGATATGTTGAGTAAATGGGCTTGAGTAGAACAAACAGTAAGTATTGTATATTTAAGTATGTGAAGCTGCAAGAAGGCATCTCATTCCTGTTCATTTTTTATATTCTCTTTTATTTCATTTTATAAGCTTTACAAAGCTTTGTCTGGTGTTCTAGTTTGCCAACTCTTTTTCCCATTCACCTACATAAGTTGGGTTCTGAAATTCTTAAACCATTTTTAACTCACTTTCTCCACTAGAGTCTTCTATAAAAACAGATGCCCTTCCTCTAAACAGATGCCCTTCCTCTAAACTGACCATATTAACAGGGAATGGCTTCTTATAATGTTTGGTACAATACATTATGAAATGAGATGTCTGTAGTGAGTTCAAAAGCTAATTCTCAAGTTGGATTCCTAAATAAGCAGGGATTGGCAGACTACTAACTTGAAGTTTAGAGAATGGGATTTGGGTCACTAGAGCTCAAATATCTGTAAAGGATTTTGTTGCAGATTTATTAGTATATTTTGGTGACCTGAATTTTGGGGAATATTGTATATTGTGAGACTAGGCTGAAGCTGCTATAGATAAAGATGAAGAAGACACATAAGCAGGGAAGACAATAAGCCAGTACTCTTGTCTAAAAGATCCCTTTAAGGAGGTAGTTAAGAAGGAACCAAAGGAAAAAAGTTAACTGAGCCAGACAAAGGAAGCTGAGCCTGAGTACATGGAGCATGATGCCATCTGATCTACAGCTACAGACTTGTGAATCAAGAAAGCAAGGATTTTGGGAGGGCTAAAAGGGCTCCTAAAATCCACTCACTCTTTGAGTTCTGTTTGGTGCCAGATTTGGTGGCTTCTATCTCTCTATCTCTAGTTAGTGCCTGTCAGCCTAGTTGGGGAAAACTTGGGTAATTGTGTATGTGTGTGTATGAGAACAAATGTTTATGTAACTAGTAAAGTTTTTCTCTTAGTTTAAATTCACTGAGTCTCTGTATTTCAAAAACCTCTTGTACCTTAGTATTTGGATAAAAGTGATTTGTGTGTGTGCCTAATTATTTCCCAGCTATTGACCAGGGATGTGTATGTTATCTGCTTTAATCGTATCTATTTGGAAAATTCAGATGGAAAGCAAGGGAACATACAAGTTGTGTGCTGTGAATGAGTGACTATAAATTAAGTCTGGGAGTGCTCTCTTGGAGTGTGTGAAGAACGAGAGAATACTATATGTTGCCTTACCTGGAAGTGTGCCCCGAATCATAAATATTTATTTGTGGTTGGTTCACATGTCACAACTTTGGGGTTTGGGTTATGATTTACTGTACTGGTGAATCCAATATTGTAGTCTGCACATTGGGTAAAATTAGGCTATCATAGCTTTTAAAACAAATAGAATAGTATGATGTGTGAACTCAGCCAGTGAATGCATTCCATAACGATCTTTCAGCCAAAACAACTCTCATTATTATTGAATTCCTGTAGATAATTGGTGTTTTCTGATAATGACAAAACCATTGCAAAGAGATAATCCTGCTTTTGATTAGTTACATTTATGAAATTAACTTGAATGTTATTCATTCAAGAAAGAATATTCCCTTTTGCTCTTGATAGAGGTCTGCCCTTATATTTCCAGAATTACATCAGTAGATATGACTTTACTATCCCCAAGAGTACAACTAGCTCTTTTCATATTGAAAGCCATGAAAACTTTAAACTGCCTAAAATAGCAAATAATGACATATTGATAGTTTATTCAAAACTTGAAAGAAAATTGGAATAATTGGCCTAAGGCTGAGTGTAGCCATACTGACTAGTGACATTCTTTTCTCAATCATGTTTACTTAGTTACCCTTATTGACTTGGTGGACTACTTACTGCTGCTTCTGGCCTCTTTCATGGCCTAATTTATCTTTGAGCTTAATTTAAATCAATAGTGCTTGTCATAAACAACTGTTTGTACAATCTTGCATATGTAATGATCCAGACAACTGGATTTCTAGAAACTACTGTTTCTTGGGAAATTGTATCGTATAAAAATGAACATATTAAAGTTTAAAATGGCTAAAATGTTTAAATATAAACAATATATAAACAGGGACCAAACTTCACACTTTGTAGCACTGATGATGTTACCTGGTTGGGTAATGAAAGGTCTGCAAATAACTAAGCTCAGATAGTACTAGGGACTCCAAAGTTCATCCCTAGCTACATGTTTCCCTTGTGGTAACTTTTAAATAATCAGAAAACAATGAAGTAACAAAATAAAGGGACAGCTTTTTATATATTTCACTGATTAAAAAAAAAGTAAGGAGGCAGGTAACATTCACATTTCAAGCTTACTGTATTTTCTAAATTTTAGATTAGTAACCTACACTGCAAATACCTGAAGTACTTCTGTTAGACCTCAGGATTACATATATTCTCAGCTTCCTATAATTAACTGCAGAAATTGCTTTCAAATATTTGTGTTTTGTTGGAGTGTTTGGGATTAGGAATGATTTAGATAAGATTACTAATCTGCTGAGATCTGATTGTTAGAACAGTTTTGTCCAGTAATTTTAGAACTGAGACAGCTCAATGTCAGGGAAGGACTAGGAAAAACTGAGAACCAGTGTATGGATTTCTGACACTTATTGAGTTTTGGTTTTACCAGTTCTTTTAATTTTTAAATTGTTAATTATAACTTTTCAGAAGCTGTAGATAGGGCATATAGCACCCCTTCCTCTTATTTTTTTTAATCAAAACTCTGTGACCTAGGTTGGACTAAAAAAAAAGCGACTGGCTCACAGTCACACAACCTTCTCTGGCTGGGAATGCTCTCTTTCTTACCTGCTACACTACAAAGTGCTGCTACACTACTGCTACAAAGTAGAAAGTACATAGCCTATGTTGAATAACAGAACTGAAAATTTACTCCCTTTCTGAGCTGCCATTGAACTCTCAGTTCTCTTGGTGGGATAGAAAAGGTAATTTCAGTGAGGCTATTTTCTGATTACACAGAACATTTAAGGGTATCTTGGGAGAGTAACTACCAATGTGGGAAAGTGAAACTTGAAAGCAGTGCTTTCAAAGCAAGTAAAGGTAGCTGAGCTTCCCTCCCTCCCATCTCTCTTTCAGCTAGAACAACTTCATAGTAAATATTAAAAATGTCTGTCTTGTTTTATGCAGGGAGTATATATCTTTGTTTTTGCACATGCAAACAATGATATATCATGGTTTCTAAATTCCAGGCAAAAGATCTAAATATATCCAGGCTTAAAATGTTTGACCCCTTTTTATTTTAACGTGGTACTATAAAGATTGCTATATTATGTTATACGTGAGTGGAAGGTACAGTTTCAGCCTATGCACAAGTGAATCCAAGAAGAAAGCAGAGAAACCTGCAAGTTGAGGAATGTACTGGAGTTTTAAGGGTCATGGTCGGTATCTATAAATAGTGTGAGTTCTGAAATGCCTAAACCATGACCTATTTTAACCATGGTCTGATGAATAAATCAGGTGGGTTTATGTAGCATTTAAACATGGTTTACAAACTGCATTGGCTGTGTTCACATATCTTGTAATCTCAAAAGAAACATACATTGTGTAATAGAAATACAGAACATAAAATATTGAGCTAAATTCTTGAGAACTAGAGGTTGATTTTTTACATAAAAGTATGGCAGCTAAGGTCCTCCTGGATTCTGATTTATCCTATTTTGTTTTCACAGGAAGCCCATGAAATCCCGAAGCAGAAGTCCTACTTATTCAAGGCATTCTTCATCTCATAACAAAAAACAGAGAACTGGGTCTCGCAGTCGCCATTCCAGTATCTCACCTGCTCGGCTACCACTGACCTCCAGTTTAGGAGCTGAGCTGAGTAGGAAGAAAAAGGAGAGGGCTGCAGCCGCAGCCGCAGCAGCAAAAATTGATGTAAAGGAGATTAAGGACTCATCTAGCTTGGTGTCTAGAAAAGAAAATAATTTAGCTGAAGTAAAAGAGTCTATAATGGATGTCAGGAAGGTAAAAATGGCTAAGCCTGAAAAATGTCCTCATGATCTGGTGACGGTAAATACTCCACAACACAACGCAGAGATGAAAACAACTCCTGAGCCTGTCAAAACAAAGACAGTAGAAAATTCTGAAAAGAAACGTCTTGCTTTGGTTAAAGACTCAAAAACTGTGGGAACAAAAAATATAAAACTTGTTATAGCAAAGGAGGAAATTGTGACTCCAAAACAAATAGAGACCTCTGAGCAAGAGGCCCAACCTCCTTTGCCTTCTGTAAAGTCACTCCCTCCTTTACCAACATCATCCCCACCTCCTCAGATTCCTCCACCATTGCCCCCTTTGCCTCCATTGCCAATTGTCCCCCCTCTGCCATCTGCCCAGTCATCTACCATTCACAGCCCTGCTTTAGTTCCTCCACCATTTTCTACCCTTTCTAAAACGACCTTGACTTCTCAGGCTAATTCCCAGTCCACCATGCAATCCTCCTCAAAGGGACATGGTTCTGTGACCATAGCTGTTCCTCATCTGAAAACATCAACGTTGCCTCCACTCCCTTTGCCACCAATCTTGCCTGGGGAAGATGAATTGGAAAGGTAAGGTTTGTAGACACTGCAATTCTACAAAGACTTGTAGTGTCATGCATTGTTCATTTCGCTCAGTTCTGAGGCAAAGATTGGTATCTGAAAACTGTTGAGCTGGTGCAGTAAATTCTGCAGTCTAGAATTTGCAGGAGTAGTAACGTGCTTGCTGCTTCTGAAGCCTTGAATTTCTAGTAATATGGACAGGAATGGGAATTTCTTGCAAGATACAAAAGATGTACCTCCTTAATAGAAAATAACTTGGATAGCCTGCTAGGAGAGGGCTTTATCTAGAACGCTTGATAGGTATTGCTGGTCAGGATAATTTTAGACGTAAACGACTTGGTTGATAATCCTACTTGTTTTGCAGTGCTTTTTATGAACATAGCTCTGAATTCATGACTAGAGAATTTTTAAATAGGTGAGCAATGTGCTTTTTGAGCCATTGTTCCCCCTAAATAGCCAATGTGTATTGATGCATTTTGTTACCAATATTTGATTGTTATATTTGGAGACAGGAATGATGATGTTAAATCAGATATTTATTTTTGGGGTGGTGGTGGTGGTAAAATATAACTTAGCCATCTTGGTTGCTGCCTTCATTTTTCCTCTTGCTGGACATGTTACCTTGTTTTCATGTGTCTCCTTTTGCACACAGAGGATGATGGGAGGATTGTGTAAGACCAAGATTTGCTGTGGCTGTGACCTGATTTTTCTCAGCCAGATTATAGTTTTGTACTATTTCCATTTTCTTTCTTTTAATTTGAGTCTTTCTCCAGACTCAAATATTCATCATGCTGTAGGGAAATTATAACTAATAAGTATCATAGTGATAGCATAATATTTAGGTATCTGGGGATGTAGAGGTGGAATTTTATGTTCCTTTGAGATCTTGAGTGGTGCAGCATGACTGTCTGATGAACCTAAAGTAATTCTAGACAGAAATGTATATCTTGTTTATGTACTATTACTATTATTTTAGAAATATTGCTTAAAATAATTTTATTTTTTGCTTCAAAAGTTCTTTGGAAGAAGGACGCTGTAGAAAAATAGTAATATAATAAATTGTTGGAGGAAAAGAAGCATTATCAATTTCTAATATTTGGATTTAATGCCTACTGTTTTTGTAAATGTTGTGTTGGACTATGATACAGAACCCAGGCAACTAAATTTCCATCTTAAAAAAAGGCAATTCTATCTACCAATCCACAGAACACCATCTTGAGAATTATGCAGCAGAAGTGTGCAGAACAAATAACTCTTTTTCCAGCCAGGTTGAATACTTCAGAGATTATCAATTGTTTTTCAGTCTCTAGCTGGTTTGATTTCCAGGAAAAGGAATTTTCCTAATTTCAAATCTAGCAAACAGTTTTAATTCTCAAGTGTGTTTGCACTATCTTGTGTTTGGCAGGGGCTGGTGAAAGTGTATAAAGAAAGTTAATAAGAGTTTTGTTAAATTTTTGCTGGTAGAGTTGGACATCATTGATATTATATTGCTAATTTTCCACATGTCAGTCAGCATATATCACTAATTGCAGAGGCAGTGCATCATAATATCCAGGAATTGTAAAAGAATGAACAAGTACTGTAGTTAGTATAAATTTTACATGTAGAACAGTTTTCTATGTATTTTTAGTAATATAAGGGTGTTTTGCGATTGCTAATCATGGAAATATTTTCAGTCCTCACTTGAACATTAATAAAATTAGTCAATTCTTATTAGTTAAAAAGGGCAGATAGCTGCTTTAAGGGGAAAAAAATGTAGTCAACCCTGGTCAACAGATCCTTTCAAGCAATGTTTGAGGAGTATGGTGGGTGTGGAGGAAGAAGATTCATAAAAATGTGTGTGGCCAAGAAAAAAATAATTTTTCTTATTATAAATATAAATAATATATTTATTTATATTATAAATATAAATTTAATTAATTAAATTAAATTAATTAATAAAATAAAATAAAATTAAAATAATATAATTTCAATATACTGTAGTTTTTGGAGTATAAGATGCACAGGACTATAAGACGCACCTACCTTTTTTGGTGAGGAAAAGAAGAAAAAGAAATCTGCCTCTGCCTCTGAGCAATTTTGCCTTGTTGCAGTAAACAGCCTGCTTTACTTTCATTTTCATTTTCAGCATAGCTTGATTAGCACAAGAGGGAAAAAATCTGCTCCAGCAATTTTCCTCCTTGGAACAAGCATGAGAGGCCTGCGCAAAACAGCTGAGAGTCATGAGGCCGATCCAATCAACTTGTGCTAATTAGGCTGTGCTGATGCTGAAAAGAGGTGTTTTTTCTTGCTGTTTGCTGCAAGGAGGTAACTGCTGGGAGGCAAAGGCCAAAGGGTGGGGGCCAGTGGGTGAATGGGGCTACATTCGGTGTATAAGACGCATCTAAATTTTCACCCACTTTTAGGGAGGAGGAAGGTGTGTCTTATACTCCAAAAAATACGGTAAATTAGTTCAATTAATGATTGTGTACTTTTATTTTTTCCCCTTCCATTGCATTAAAAATGACACATTTACTAAACCAGAATGTTGAAATTTCATCTGTATATCAGGTACTGATATACAATGTTAAAATGGTGCTACCTTTGGTTACATTGATTTCCTCTAGATATTTTTATCAGTAACATTATAATTGTAGCAGCTGAATTATATCCACCTGTGTTAAACCTTGGAGACGTGGAACAATGATCAGCTTCCTAAATAGCTCATAACACTTTTCTTTCTTTTCTCCGGTGCTTTAGTCCAAAGGAGATTGTTCCTCTGAAGTCTGTGAAGAAAGAGAAAGAACAGAGACCACGACACTTGCTTACAGACCTCCCACTTCCTCCAGAGCTTCTTGGTGGAGACCCTTCACCGCCAGAGTCTCCAGAACCAAAGGCAGCCACACCACCTCAGCAATCATTAAGAAAGAGACCAAAGTAAGAACGAAATATACTTTTATTCGATGGCATTTGTTCAAAGTACTTTATTTCTTTAGAATAACATTGAGGATTGGCAAACGAATGAATTGGGTGGTTAATAGACCTAACCCAATCACCTTTCATCTTGTGCCATGACATATGGCAAAGCTAATATAACTTCAATCACATGATTCTAGATTTAGTTTTGATTAGTACTGGTAAATGACACTTGTATTTCCAATTGAAATACAATCCATTTTAAAATGGATAGAAATGGAAAATTGGGGAATCTTAAAATGCGGATTTAGTGCATGGAAGATAAAGTTTGATCCTCAACTTGATATCCATGTTGTCGGATAGCTAGTGTATCTGACAACATCTCCCTTAGAATCTTTCCAACTTCATGTCCATCCAGCTTTTATTTTATAGATTATAATTTAAAATAAAATAAGAGTTAAGCATATTGCAAAGCTTCACTTTCAAATATGATTTGTATTTCTATTAATACATTGGGTTTTACATAAATCTTAGAAATATTCTTGAAAATAAAATGGCATATGAATTTAGCTAGAGCTTTGTTTCTAAGTATATTTCCCCAGAAAAAAAAAATGAAAACAAAGATAAACCAAGTGTCCTGTTTGGATGAAAAACTGGCTTATTTTTAGCATTTTGAACTCTTTTGAGTTCAAAAACAATGCAAAAATGCTCAAAACAATACTTTTACTGAGGCAAAATAGAATTGAGTACTCTATATTTTAGAGTATTTCAGGAACTCTCGTAATTATAAAAGAATAATACAGTCTGTATAATTTTATATGAAAATTGCAGTTGGATTTTGTTTCCCTGAGTTTAAGGCCTAATGTAGTGCAAAAATCCAGCCTAGGAAAAAATCTCAACATTCAGGGGAGGGGAATCTGTTTTACGCACTTTTAACCATCCTATAGAAACCATTTTGTCCTGAGACAGGTAACCCCTTCCCCCCAGCCATTTTGTGGTAATACCCATGGATGCGCTGATCAGTATGCAGGTATCAGAAAAAGAGAAGTCAAAAGTTAAGTACTTGAGTACACATGTGTATTAATCTTACCTTAAAGATAAAACTGTTTAATGAACATTGTTCTTATGTTGAGAGCAGAAAACTAGAATTACGCAGTTATTAATATTCTTTCAGCTATTGCTTTATAGAGAACAATTTTGAAATATATTTAATGTATATAATTTTAAAGAATTTTGCTTATGATAAAATCTAATACAAACTAAACTTTAAGATAATAGAATAGAAAGAAGTAAAAGATACAAGAAAAAAGAGAAACAGAAAAGTAAGAATATAATAAAGAAAAGAAATATATAAAGAAATGACTTCCAACTTTCATAAAGTATAAACAAATTTAGTGACTGTTTACTACCTGTAAGATGACATTTATGTCCTTATGCCATATACCATCTCTTAGCTGTAAACAAATCCATAAAACATTGTTTTCTTTTAGAAAGTCCATAAATAGCTGCCAGAAGTAACAACATATCTTGCTTTAACTTTGATCAAATAAAACAGCTTTATATTCCTTCCTTTTACTTCTAATAGTCTTATTCTTTAGTTCATCATACTGTAGGATTTGATTTGATTTTTTTATTTTGTCTCACCCAGAGTTTTCCAAGCCTCTTTTGTAAATACAGTAGAAAAAAAATATATTCAGATCACTTTCTTGTTTTGTCATTTGTATTTCTGTTTTAAATGTTAAAACCTCAGCCAGTTTCTAATGTAGATCCAATGAAACATCCTTTTCTAGGTCATTCTCTTGACCTGTCAGTTGTAAATCCATTTTTGATTCCATCTCTGTTTTGCCAGATAAAATGTGTTCTTTTCTACATTTGTCATTTCTTCGTAATAACTTTTGAACAGAGTCTATGTAGGGAAGCAGACCTCATTATTGATGTTGATAGTGTGCTATTTTCAGATTCCATTCTTCAAAAGTCTCCTTCAATATTTTTTATTACTATAAGGTTTTGCATCATTTTATATTGTAATTCTTTCCTTTACCTAAAAACTTTAGTCATCTTTTAAAAGGATTTCAGTTATTAGAAATCTTCAAATGCTTCTGTGATGTTATAATTACTTATGTTTCTCTTAAGGGGATGCGGTGGCTCAGTGGCTAAGACGCTGAGCTTGTCGATCGAAAGGTCGGCAGTTCAGTGGTTTGAATCACTAGTGGTGCGTAACGGGGTGCGCTCCCGTTACTTGACCCAGCTTCTGCCAACCTAGCAGTTTGAAAGCACGTAAAAAATGCAAGTAGAAAAATAGGAACCACCTTTGGTGGGAAAGTAATAGCGTTCCGTGTGCCTTTGGTGTTTAGTCATGCCGGCCACATGACCACAGAGACATCTTCGGACAGCGCTGGCTTTTTGGCTTTGAAATGGAGATGAGTACCACCCCCTAGAGTTAGGAACGAAGGGAACCTTTACCTTTACCTATGTTTCTGTTCCTCCAGAGATGCTAGCTGATGAAATGATTATTATATTTCATTATTTTTTATTTATTTTTATTTAATCAAATTTCTATACCGCCCTACTCCCGAAGGACTCAGGGCGGTGAACAGCCAAGATAAAATACAGATAATACAAATATTAAAAATCCCTTAAAATTAATAAATATTTTGGCCGAAACACAAATTAAAACACCCAATTTATAAAATCACGAATTAAAAAATTTAAAAAATAATTTAAAAGAGGGGAGTTAGGCCAGGCCAGCTTGCTGAAATAGAAAAATTTTGAGAGCACGGTGAAACGTGCGCAGGTCCGGGATCTTCCGTATCTCTGGGGAGAGCTCGTTCCAGATGGTAGGTGCCCCCACAGAGAAGGCTCTCCCCCTGGGGGCCGCCAGTCGACACTGTTTGGCCGACGGCACCCTGAGGAGCCCCTCTCTATGGGAGCGTACTGGTCGGTGAGAGGCTATTGGTAGCAGAAGGTGGTCTCGTAGATACCCCGGTCCGATGCCATGGAGCGCTCTAAAGGTGGTAACCAAAACCTTGAAGCGCACCCAGAAGACCACTGGGAGCCAGTGCAGCTCGCGCAGGAGGGGGGTCACATGGGAGCGCAACGTCGCTCCCATAACCACCCGCGCGGCTGCATTCTGGACCAGCTGGAGCCTCCGGATGCTCCTCAAGGGGAGCCCCATGTAGAGAGCATTGCAGTAGTCCAAGCGGGAAGTAACGAGAACATGAGTGACCGTATTTAACGAGTCCCGATCCAGAAAGGGACGCAACTGGCGAATCAGGCAGACCTGATAAAAAGTCCCCCTGGCCACGGCCGTCATGTGCTCTTCTAAAGACAGCCGTGAGTCCAGGAGGACACCCAAGTTGCGAACCCTCTCCGTGGGGGCCAATGACTTGCCCCCAATAGTCAGTGATGACACCAACTGACTATATCGAGATGTCGGAAACCACAGCCACTCGGTCTTGGATGGGTTGAGCCTGAGTCTGTTTCTCCCCATCCAGATCCGCACAGCCTCCAGGCACCGGGACATCACTTCAAGGGCATCATTGGGGTGGTCCGGGATGGAGATGTACAGCTGAGTATCATCAGCGTACTGATGGTACTTCACCCCGAAACCACGGATGATCTCACCCAGCGGCTTCACATAAATGTTGAACAGAAGGGTTGACCTCTGCCCCCCTGTCAACACAGACTGCGACCGGTCAGAGAGAAAGGAGGAGAACCACCGTAGGACGGTGCCCCCCACCCCTAACTCCTCTAGCCGGTGCAGCATGATACCATGGTCGATGGTATCAAAAGCCGCTGAGAGGTCTAATAGGACCAGGACAGAGGAACAACCCCTGTCCCGAGCCCTCCAGAGATCATCAACCAACGCGACCAATGCCGTTTCCGTGCTGTACCCAGGCCTGAAGCCTGACTGGAACGGATCCAGATACGACAATTCATCCAGGTACTGGGGGAGCTGTCGCACTACCACACTCTCAACAACCTTCGCAACGAAGCGAAGGTTGGAGACTGGACGATAATTTGCCAACACTGCCGGGTCCAGGGAAGGCTTCTTGAGGAGAGGCCTCACCACCGCCTCTTTCAAGGCGGCAGGGAAGACACCCTCACTCAAGGAAGCATTTATAATCCCCTGGAGCCAGCCTCGTGTAACCTCCCGAGAGGCCAGCACCAGCCAGGAGGGACACGGGTCCAGTAAACATGTGGCTGCGCTCAGTCTGCCCAGTATCCTGTCCACGTCTTCGGGCGTCACAGAATCAAACTCTTCCCAGATAATACTCACAAGACCTGCCTCTGTCCTCCCTGCTGAATCTACCCAGTCAGAGTCCAGGTGTTCCCGAATCTGAGCAATTAATAAACATTGTGAAAATTTTTAAAAACTATCTAACCAAAAATAAATAAGTGATAATTCATTAAAGGAATTACATATATTGCAGTAATTTAAAAAATAGGGAAGAAAAAGAAAAAATGTAGGAAAACAGAAAAAATAAGATCTATATCATAATAATTTTATATTATGATATAGATCTTATTTTTTCTGTTTTTAATTCAATTTTTAAATTTATTATTAAATCCATAGGAAACTAGCTTGTCATTCTTAGAGTATAAATACATTTCAAAAATTGATAAAGACCACATATATTACTTCCATTCCTTAACATCATGAATATAAATGTCTTTCCATCTACATGAAATAATTCTATATATAGGTGATAATTATCCATATATCTGCCACAGTGGTTAGAGTGTAGTAATACAGGCTACTTCTGCTGACTGCAATTTGGCAGTTCAAATTTATCAAGCTCAAGGTTAACTTAGCCTTCCATCCTTCCAAGGTGGGTAAAATGAAGAGCCAAATTGTTGGGGGCAATATGCTGACTCTGTAAACCACTTAGAGAGGGCTGCAAAGCGGTATATAAGTCTAAGTGCTAAATTCTATTGCTATCTATATAATGTATTTTTCAGAGTATAAGACACACTTCCCCCCCCTAAAACAGGCTGAAAATTTGTGTGTATCTTACACTCTGAATGTAGTCCTGCCTACCTGCTGGCCCCCACCCTTTGGCCTCCGCCCAACCTCTTCTTGCCTGCAGAGATTGCCACTGACAATAGCTTGTGTTTTTGGGCTCTGCGCATCATGTTTGGAGGCATTAGCTTCCAAACGCTCCATTTCCCTTCAAGGCTGCGGAGATTGCCAAAGCAATTGCCACCGATCGGTGCCCGACATATTTGGAGGCTTAAAATGTGACACACAGTGCCCAAAATGGCTACCCAAAACAGCTACTGCCTTCTCTTACCCCTTCGGAGCTTCACTGGAGCTCCCTCTGATGATCAGCTGTGGTTTCGAAGCCGAGCTTCGCCTGCTTTTCTCATTGCTGTTCCCTCCAATGATCAGATGTGCTTTAGAAGCTGTTTCTAAGCCCCAACCTGGCTCAAAATCAGCGAACTAATGTGCTGAAGCTGGCCACAATTCTTCATAAAATATCAAACTCCATAATTAGAATAATATCATCACATATCTTTAACATGTATATTTTCTTAGGACTATGAAACATAAAATGTCTTCATATTTTTTACAACATAGGATGAGAAATCTGAAATTGATGACAACTTGGCAGTGCCATTACTTAAATATTATGCTGAACCATGATGTTATGTTTTATTTTGGTTTAGCAAATTATGTGAACCACTGTTGCTTGTAAACTATGATTAGTATGTAATCATGAATAAATCTAGCCAATTGTGGTTTATTTAATAAAATAAGCCATATTCCGGTCTGAACCACAGACTACAGTTTCTTACTTAATTTCATTTAGTATTATAATCTGCCTACCTGGAAAACTAAGTATAATCTTTTAAGCTTTTAAGAAAAAGAGTGGCTTGTATTTATAATAAATATGTTAGGTATCATAGAATTTCTGATGTACACTATATATACATATACATATACATATACATATATGTGTATATATGTGTGTGTGTGTGTGTGTGTATACACACACACACACACACACACGCAGATCTGAGTAGGATGATCAAAAAACATTGATGAAAGAGTTATGTATTAGAATTACACATTTTAACAATTCTTCTGTTTGCTATCCCTCCCCACCCCCACCCCCGCAAAAAATCTCTTCCAGAATTTGTTGCCCTCGTTATGGTGAGAGGAGACAGACAGAAAGTGATTGGGGAAAGCGCTGTGTGGACAAATTTGATATTATTGGTATTATTGGTGAGGGAACATATGGGCAAGTGTACAAAGCCAAGGATAAGGATACAGGTGAGTATAAAAACATGGATTATTTTTAATTTCTTTTTATGAGCATATATATATGTATGTGTGTGTGTGTGTGTGTGTGTATACATATACACACATATATTGTGACCCAGGTCGCCTAGGCAGAGACGGACTACGATAGAGTCCTTCATTGCTCTGTTAAATTCCACAACAAACAGCCCTACAATGGCCAGTAAGGCTCCACCCCATACTTTTCTTTCTCTCTTTTTTTTAAAACAAATTTTATTGGTTTTTTTCTTTTCTCCTCTCCCACCTTCACCCACATCTTTCTTTCTTTTTTTTTTGAACAGGGTATTGGTCGTTTCTTATCTTATACAATTAGTCAAATTCAAATATATTTTACTCAATTACAATTTTTGTCAATATCGTCTTTCCCCCTTTCCTTTTTTTTTTTTGAATATACCTCAGTATTTCTATACTTGCATACATAAACACCTTCTTCATTTATCCCTAAATTCTAACTTTACTATTTGTGCATATTTATCCTCTTTTATTTTTAAACAATTCATTCTTTTTCTTAATATATTTATATTTGTGTATTCAGAGCTGCCTTTCTTCCATTTCATCTTTTTCTTTATCATACAGCAATCTTTCTCCTCAAACCTAACCTCTCCTTCTTCTCCTTCCAACTTTCTTTCCCCACCTTCTTCTTCTCTTCTCTACTCCCCCTTCCCTTCTCCTTCTCCTTCTCTCTTCCCTGTCTTACCTTCTCTCCTACTCTGCTTTCCCTTCCTTTCCTTCCTCTCTCTCCTCCCTCCTCCCTTCTAATTCCTTCATCTCTCTCTATTGCTGTATTCATTTTCAATTTAATGTTTTCCATTGTGGAATTCCAGCAGCCCCGATCCCTCATCTTTTTAATTATTAACAATATATTTCATCTTGTTCTCTTTTTTTCTTCAAATCTTTACTCAAACAATTTTCTAATCTCTTGTCTTTTTTACTTTTACCAATATATTTTTTTCTGCTTTACTTCTTGCAAATATAACATTTAAATCATTTTTATCATTTCAATTTCAATCAGTTTTACATTCAATTTCAATCATTAAATATATTTCTCAAAACATCTTAACAATATATTTCCACTTATTCAAATATATATTTATAAAGCGCATCTTAATCCTTTCTCATTTTACCCAATCTGATTAGTTCTTAAAATATTCTTAATTTGTCTTCTTTTCTCTTTTTAATTATGTTTCAAATGTATAGTTTGAAATATTCCAAATATTACATTTCCCCCAACTGATTTATTCATATTGGTAAAACTTACCATTCTATAAACCTCCAATATTATTGAGCATGTGACATTTATTACAGTTTTCCCTTTGTTTCTACTTTTCTTTTCCTTTTTCATATCTTTTCATTATTATTATTTTGTACCTTAAAATCATGAATTTTTTGTCCTTTATTTCCCATTATTTTCCATCCCTTTTCCCTCTTCTTATATTTCCACTGTAAATCCCGGTGTAATCATTTATGTTTTTAATATTTTTTCTCCTCCACCACCCTCTTTTCCTTCTTTGCCTTTTGTTTTCCCTTCTTCCTTTCTTTTGTATTCTAAAATTCTGCACTCTCCTATTCTGCCCTATATTTCCCATTGTTTCTCCTTTCTCTTTCCTTTTTTGTGTCTTTTCATTGTTAATCTCAGTATGCTTATTTTGTATTTTAAAATCATAAAATCTTTTATTTTGTCCTTTATTTCTTATTATTTTCCATCTTTTCCCTTTCTTATCTTTCCACTGTAAATCTCAGTGTAATCATTTAAGTTTTTTATATTTTTTCTCTTCCACCCTCTTTTCCTTCTTTGTTTCTTTTCTTTTTGTCCATACTTAATATTACAATTGTTTAATTTTCCATAGTCAGTCTCTTTCTTTTTTTTTTTAATTTGATTTCTATACCGCCCTACTCCCGAAGGACACAGCCAAACAATAAAACACATACATACAAAATTTAAAAGAAGAATAAAATCAAATTAAATAATTTTGGCTCCAACAAATTTAAAACCCTGAACTATTTAAAACCAATTTTAAAATTGAATGTATAAAATACTAAAAGATATTTAAAAATTAAAAATCTTTTATGAAAGAGGGAGAAAATTAGGCCAGGCCCGCCTGGTGAAATAATAAGGTCTTTAAAGCGCGGCGGAAGGTCTTTGTCTTTGTCTTCTTCATTATCCATCTCTCTTTCTTGTTTCTCATTAGTCATTTCCTTTTCATCTTCAGTGCATTCTAGCTCTGTCTTTGCCTCCTCAGATTTCGACTTTCCATGCAAATTTATAATCATTTCCTTTATTTCCAAACACATCGTCTTTATCAGTTCATTAAGTTCCTGTTCCATTTTATTCTTTCCAGGTTGAATTATTCCAGTTTTAAGTCGCATTAAAGTCCCTCTTTTATAATCATCAAAGTCTATCCTCTTGTAGGCAAAACATATCCTCCTTAGTTCTTGCCAGTTATCTTTTTAAAAGTTCAAGGTTTTTTTTTTTCCCCTCATTTCTTCAAAGGTTTTCTCAAAGTAAACAATTCCATGTCATGCTCTTCCTTCTCCTGCAGATGTCTCTCTATAATCCACAGTTCCACTTGAGTAATTAACAAATCACCATTTTATTTGTAATACATATCCATGTTTACCGAGTCATAAAAGAGAAAAAAGCCAGTTTTTCACATCTTCTTTCACCAATCTGTTTATAATCCAATCCAAATTGAATCCAAGTTCCAGATTTACATTTCCATTTGTCAAACACTTTTAATTCTTTATTCTTTATTCGGGTTCTAATATGGTGCGCTTGTCATTCTCACTTTCTCTTTCCATCCGCCATCTCCCCCTGCCACTATTTAGCCGCAATTTCCATGCCGGGGTAATTTTAGTAATAGTTTAATAGTTAAAAATATTTAGAAATTTATTTTTATTGTCTGTGGGTTAGCTAATCACTCACCCAACACCAGCACTCTGTCCAAATCTTCCCTCCTGCACATTTCTTGCCCCAGAGGCTCCAGTTTCATGGCGATTCACTCTGACCACCGCCCCCCGTCACTGGCTCGGAGAGAGTTTCTCGGGCTATCCAAGGGACTTGCCTGTCCTTCTTTAGAAACTGAGCTGCCTCTCTTTCTTTACTGTCCTTACAGGACAGCTTCTATCTGAAGACACCCTCCCCCCGGGTGTCGGTTCGTCTGGCTGGTTTTTGCCAAGCTCAGCATTTCTCAGCCAGTCACGCTTCCGGTTTCTCCATCCCATACTTTTCTGTAGGCAGCCACCCAGTCCAACAAACAAAAGCCAGTAAGCAACAAAACCAATTTGGAAAGGCAGAGAGGAAGTCCAAAAACTAGGTGCAAGCTCACAGGGCAAGGCAGGTTCACAAGGCAAAAGGCATAAAGCGAGACACAAGCTGAAACTAGTCAAGGCTGAGGGTTTTTTCCAAAGCTGGAGGCATGTAAGGCAAAGCAAAACAATTGTTCCTGACAAAGACAATCTCCCCTGGCTTCTCCTTAAGTCAACCCATGCCAGGTGTTCCTTGTGAGAGTGGGGTAGGGTGACCTTCCAAGCAGCCTCTCAGACCTTCTTTGAGCTTGCCTCCTCTCTGCTCTCTGTGTCCTCAGAATGAGTGTGGGAGGCAGCTGTTCCTCATCAGAGGGGATCTGCTGCCTCTCAACACCCACTTTTTGTAGCCAATCCTCCTCTATGTCTGTGAGGGCAGACAGCTCTCCGTCCGGTTGGCCATCTCCCCTAATGCCTTAGGGGCCTGGGACAGCATTGTCCTCAGCCCCTGGCCTCTCCAAATATTACAAGGAATGTCATCATGCCATCCCTGTCAGATGGTCCTCCATCTCCCTCACCACCTCTGAATAACAACACACATACAGACACCACACACACATATATGAGAGGAGAGTTATAGTTATTTATTGACACATATTATAAGATTTTTTTATTATAAAAGTGTGACTTCTTCTGTTTATAGAGGAATAAATGATCTATCTATACAGTTAGTCCTTGACTTACAACCAAAATGTGTCATGTGATCATCATTTGTAACTTTCCAAGTTGCCTTCTGGCATACAGAATTAATGTGGGAAGCCAGATTCACTTAACAACTGTAGCAATACATCCAGCAACTGCGGCAAAAAGGTCATAAAATGGGGCGCAGCTCACTTAATAACTCTTGCTTAGCAATATAAATTTTGAGCTTAATTGTGGTTGTAAGTAGAGGTTTACCTGTAACAGTTTGTAAGAATAAATTGAAGAAGATAAACTGGTTGCCCTCTTAGTCTCAATGGCAGGTAATTCAAAATATCTGTTATGGAATTAATTCAAAGTATGGAAATGAAGAAAAGTTCTGAAATATACTTTTAACATCCCCAATGTTGTCCTGATAAAAAGTTTTCATTGTACGGATAATCCTTGACCTATGATCGCAATTTGGGTTGTTATTTTGGTCAAAAGTTGTTGCAATTGTAAGTCAAGGCATCACATGACTAGATTTTAACTGTTCTGATACAATAATAATAATTAAATAAAAAATAATAAATTGCCAATAAATTTTATAAGTAAATTTTTATAAATAAATAATGCAAGTCATCATGTTATTAAAGAAATCACATGGTCTTTAAGCAAATCCATTCTTAACGGGCATTTTTTGCTGGGAACTGACAAAAATGTCACACACTGTGGTCATGTGATCACAGGATTGGTCATAAATGCAAGCAATTGCCAAGTGCCTGAAATATGATCACGTGACTACAGGGGATGTGTGTGTGTGGCTGTCATATTTTTGAGGACAGTTTGTAAGTAAAAATAATTTCAAGTCTGTTGTAACTGCACGGTCATTAAACAGTTGGTCTTAAGTCACAGACCAGTTTTGTTGACATTGTCTACTCAGATAAGTGACAAACAGGGACATGTTTAAGGAAGATCCTATTTTTCGTTTCTCTTGTTTTGTTGGACCATTATTACTTTTATAATTTGCTGTGTTCTGTATTTCACAGGTGAATTGGTAGCTTTGAAAAAAGTAAGGCTGGACAATGAAAAGGAAGGCTTCCCTATTACAGCTATCCGTGAAATCAAGATTCTCAGACAATTGATTCATCGGAGTGTTGTCAACATGAAGGAAATTGTTACAGACAAACAAGATGCACTGGATTTCAAGAAGGACAAAGGTACTCATTGTCAAAGAAGACTGTTTGGAAATAGATTGTGAGATTATGACCTGCATTTCAAATTAACTGGCTTATTTAGCAGTAATAAACATGCTTTGTACATTAAAAAAAAGTATAGTGAGGAGGTATATTTTAATTTTGTCTAGAGTGTCAGAACGTCAGTGGTTTACTTTATAAAAAACATCTGGGTAAGAAGCTTCCTATTCATCTTGAGGATATTTTGTGAAATTTTTAGAGGAGCTCTGTGCTGTGTAAGATAATCAGGTTCTTCAATAATAGATAAGGGGGGGAATATTGCTTTTCTTAGGATTTAAAATTTCTTTACAATTTAGATATGCAGTCACAATTGTCTTGATAACGAATACTAAGTGAGATGGAACATTAAACGATCTAGAATCCTTTTTTCTGAGAGCACAATTTATGCCATTTACATTTTCCTACTTATGGCATAATCTACTTTAGAATATTCTAAATATGATGTGCTAAATGCTTGATGTGCTAAATGTTCATATTTTAATTCTTAAATAAAAATAGCGGTGTTTGTCTTTTTAATCTTCTGGTAGGTGCCTTTTATCTTGTATTTGAATATATGGACCATGACCTCATGGGATTGCTAGAATCTGGGTTGGTGCATTTCTCAGAGGATCATATCAAATCATTCATGAAGCAGTTGATGGAGGGACTGGACTATTGTCACAAAAAAAACTTTCTTCATCGAGATATCAAATGTTCCAACATCTTATTAAATAACAGGTAATGATGTATATTTATTTTATATTAGATGACTGTGTGGGAATTGAAAAATTGTTTTCTCAATGTTCTATCCAGTATATTTAAAAAATATCCGTTGTATTTTTATCCTTCCTGAGATATGAGGAAGATGCTTTGTTCTGTATTCTTTTGCCTGCTCTGGTAATAATTTGAAAGCAAAAATTTAATGTACCAGTATCATGAAACACATTTCTAATGGAAATCTGTATGACTCTCATCATTCCATCAAGTAAAACATCTTTTATATATGCCCGTTTGTTCATTTGAGTTACATATATTTTGCCATACATAGCAGTAGCTGGCTGCCATTTCTGTTAAACAATCATGCCACCTAGAGTCATTTTTAGTGAGAAAGGATAGACAAAACCTGCTAGTTTTCTGTCAGAATGCTTCACACATGAACCTTTCTTATTGTAGTGACACCAGATCCAATCTGGCATATAACCTCATATATACATTTTCAAAGCAAAGGGGGGTTTGTCATGAATATTTGTCTTATATAATACATTTTAATCTGATCTCACTCAGAGAACTCTTTAAAACATACTGGATTCTCATTGGATTCATGTTCTCATTATGGAAATAATTCAGAGAGAGAAAAGATCAAGGGCAGCTGACCTTAGCAGAGCTATTGGATCTGGTCTTTATGTTTTAAAAATTCTGAGGCTATTTATTAATTACCTTCCTTCACCATTTGTAACTCTCCCCATGCTGCATATTTAGCCCTCTATTAAACCGGGGGGGGGGGGGGGGGAGTCAAGGAACTGATGAATGACTTGAAAATGTATTTCCATGCATTCTTGCTGTCCCCGAAACTTCTAAATAGATAGATTCTGTATTTGAAAAATAGAGTTATATCTATAAATTTGTAGGATAATTTTGTGGGGAATCTCTTCTGTAGGAGATTTCTATGTCTTGAAACTGTGACTTACAGGTACCTGCTGCAAATTCAGTAATTCTTGTTTATGCAGAATTGCTCTTTTGTGTAAAATGTTGTTACTAAAGGTTCACAATTATTTTTCTTTTTTGCAGTGGGCAGATCAAGCTGGCAGACTTTGGTCTTGCTCGACTTTACAGTTCAGAAGAAAGGTAAGATGTTTAAGAGGAGCATACATTTTAATAAACTTAAACTTAAACATGATTTTAGATATTTCATACATAATATACCTGGATGGATTGCCGTACAAACCCTATTGAATTCAATTGCAAACAAACATATAGGAGTTATATTTGTTATCTCCCTTTTTAAGTCAGTGGTGTTAATGAGGGAGCTGATTGCACGGCCTTTGCCTATTTATTGATTGCTAATCTTCTTGGTTATGCCTTGGACTTATAACTAAATTTATAGTTTATTTATAATCCACCTTAGTTTTAAATTTATTGAAACCATTAGCAAATTATTTTGAGTTTTAGATCTCTGACAATAAAAGCAATGATTTTCCTAATTCTGTTTATAATGTAACAGAGAGAAAGCATTGACCTATCTTTTTTTATCAATGAAGATATCCTCCTTGAACACCTAATACTTGATGATTTTCTGTAGAGTGGGGAATGAGATCAGAGGCAGTTTATTTCTTCTTGTCCCTGCAACTGTATTTCGATCACTTTTCATTATGAATGCTTGAGGCTGGACTTGAGGATGACTTGAAATGAAATTTGCAGTGGCTTAAAAAATCAATAGTCATTCTGTTGATTGTATCATCTAATATATATCTGTTTACAGTGATTCTTACAGAATTATTGAAACTAAATATTTATTATAATTGTTTTCTCACTTAGCCGTCCATATACCAATAAAGTCATTACATTATGGTATCGACCACCAGAGTTGCTGCTAGGCGAGGAGCGTTACACACCAGCTATAGATGTCTGGAGCTGTGGGTAAGCCAGTGACTCTTCCATGCTTTGGTTTCTGATGTTAACTTGTAGCTGCAATCTGCAGTGGTTCATACCTCAAGCTTTAAGCATAGTGTGGCTGAAATTCCATTTAATTTTCATTGGCGTTAAATAACTATGATGAATCTAATTTTTTGCTGTTTCTTTGGACAGTAGCCACAAAAACATGCAAGAGCTCACTTCTAAAAAAAACCTTTAGGTTTTTGTATTTAAGATATTCTATTGTTCTTTTTTATAAATGTGAATTAAAATATTGCTATTGTTCATGGCAATAATTTTCTTCAGAAAATATGAAGATCTATCTCTTCCACAAGGCAATGGGAAATGCTGCTCGGTAAATGCAGATAGGTCCTTTGCATGCACCTTTCATTGGCAATTTGCTAGATACCTAATAAGATCCTTAGGCATCCAAGAGAAGCTTGCCATCCCTCCCTCCTCCCCAAATACTCCAATTTATGCTATTGGTGTTTTAGCTTGTTCTGTTTTCTTCCTAGTTGCATCCTTGGGGAACTGTTTACAAAGAAACCTATTTTTCAAGCTAATCTTGAGTTGTCCCAGCTTGAATTAATCAGGTAAAGCGTTCTATGAATGATAGAAAGGAGATTGGGCACAGAAAGTAGTTTGTGTATTCTGCCTTGGCTGTGCCAGCAGTTATCATATTTTATAGAATTGCAAGCAATTATATTAGGTCCAGATCAGATCTATGAACAATATGTACCAGCTGGTTGCTCATGTTAAAAATGTACATAGATGCCAGAAAAATGCTTTTCTTGAGTTTCTGAAGGTATATAACTGTATCTTATATTATGAGTCTCTATCTCCAGCCTGGTAATCCACTCTTCAGGAGACAGGAACTCAGAATTCTGTATATGCAGCTTATTTCTAGCTATAATTTTGAATCGCGATTCTAATGGTGCTGTTAGATGACTAGAAACTAGCATTAGGCTCCCTTTAAATACCATACAAAGTTGAGAAAGAGGCCAGGGCAGAAAAGAATCGTTATGTGGCTTACTTAGCTGGTCAAGATCTGCTATTCCTTGGAAAAAAGGTGTTTACAGTTTCATCAGCTGCAAAGTCTTCTCTAGAGCATCATTCTCTGTTCAAGTAACTTAATCCTTGTTAGGAATCTTTCTAAAATCTGAAATCCATTGCCTGGGCCCAGAGTCGCCTTATTGGTGAGATGGACAGCATTTGAGTTAAATAAATAAATACATTATTATTATTCATCTACAAGTGTTTTCTTTAGCTAATCTTAATCATGGCTTGCCCCACCCTTGCCGGCAGACGGGGCATACTGTAAATCTCGTCAGCCAAGGAATTTCAGCTGACGGGATCCAGGAGAAGAACCACCTTTGCTGTGGCTCCTGCCCTCTGGATGTTTCAAAAGAACCTCAAGACCTGGCCCTGCCAGATGGTTTGGGAACCCAATGGGGGAGCTCCATAATGGAGGTGGTTCAGTAGTTAAAACTCAATGCCCCCTCCCTCCCCCCATGTGTTTGGCTCCCTTCTTTGCCACATTGTCTCCTTGATTTTATCTGTGAAATCTTTTTATTTGCTGTGTTTTTATAATGGATGATTTTAATGTTTTTTCAATGTTGTAAGCCACCCAGAATTGTTGGCAAATAAATGTAATCAATCAATCATCTTTGTGCTTGTCAGAACGTTCAATTTGCTATTGTATATGAATGGGGACTCATTTCTGTGATGCTTTAAATTCCACAAAAAAAAAAAGGGCTCGTCTTCATATGTCTTCTGCATTTAGAGTTGACTAATGGAAATTTCACTCTTGCTGCCCAAATTATATTTCATTTTATTTTCCCTGATGCTCTTTTTACTTCAGTTTTAAAGTCCATGCCAATAGCTATTTATGAATCATTTGAGATATTTAAAATAAAATGTGAGTTTAACTAGACATAATTGAAAATCATTTATATATACCGGTACTCTTTCTGAATTTCCTCTTTAATTATTAGGAGGGAGAGGGAGGGAGGGAGGGAGAGAGAGAGAAAGAGGGACAGAGAGAGAGAGACAAGAGGGACAGAGAGGGACAGAGAGAAAGAGAAAGGGAGAAATGGAGGGGGGAGAGAGAGAAATGGAGTGGGAGAGAGAGAAAGAGAAATGGAGTGGGAGAGACCCAGACCCAAAATCAGCCAACTTTCTTGCCTAAGAGAGGCCTAGATGTTGCAGTATCCTAGTTTCTAGGTCAGCACATTAACCACTTTGCCAAAGGATAGTGGTTTCTATATTGCACCATATCAACCAATGGGGGAAAGGTGATGCATGAATGTTGATACCGTATTATTTGGATGGGTAATTTAAAAATAACCACAGAACTGAGTGACTTCAAGTATTATGTTTATCGAGAGATTCAAAACCGTGTTTACATTTCCTTGCAGCCGTCTTTGTGGGAGCCCGTGTCCAGCTGCATGGCCAGATGTCATCAAACTTCCCTACTTCAACACCATGAAACCTAAGAAGCAATATCGCAGGCGTCTGCGGGAGGAGTTTTCTTTGTAAGTTGGTTTACTGTTCTTTGAGTGAGAGCATAGCACTGTATGCAGTATGTCCTCATGTTTTGTATAACACTATAAAGCACAATATTTAGTTTTTTAATTTCCATATGTTGTCTCTGTGAATATGAGATAATGTAGAGGTCCAGAGGCTGTCCACTTGTCTTCCAAAAAAAGCTTGCTCGGGTTCCTCCTTTTCAGAAAACAGGTTAAGATAGATTTTTGGGAAGTAACTTTAAAAAAACAACACAATTATCCTGATTTTATAATAAATTTAATTTTAATTTAATTTTTATAAATAACTCACAGTGGCAAACATACCTAATATTCCTCCTCCTTTTTTATTACACCTCAAAAGCCCTGTGAAGTGGACTGGGCTGATAAAGAGTGATTAACCTAAAGTCACCCAGCCAGCTTTCATGCCTAAGGCCTAAAACTCACAGTCTCCTATCTAGACCAATTTTGGGGGATGGAAAAGAGAGAAAGGTGAAAGGTTGACAGTTATGTCTCATGTATGCTTACAGCAGTTGTAGATAATTTTATTTGGTGCAATGTGTATTGTTAATTGTATTGGACAATAGACATCTGTGAACTTCCAGGGTCTGTAAAACATTAATGGGCCTAAAGCCACAGACTTGGTGGATTCTAGATGAGAATTAGGAGCGGACATGGGAACGTTTACCTGTTTCAGCTCTTAACTGCATTCAGTAGTGTCCAATAAGTGTCTTGGATAAAGGGGAAGGAGTAATTACTTACTGCCAGCATGAGAGAAAAAATACAAATTGTTTTTCTTTTCTTTTTTCATACCATACTTGAGAACACTTTGCACTCAAAGTATCCATTCTTAGGCAATTCATGGTTGGGAAAAGAGATGAACTTAAAATATGCTACAAAGTCTCATTTCAGGGATTGGGACTCCTAGTACTTTGTTATTAGTACTGGTTTTGTTTTGTTTTTGTTTTTTTTGTTTTTTTGATAAATAATTGGTACTGATATTACTGTTTATTCATCTCAATTGTGTCTTGAGTTGAATGGAGAAGGCATATGGTATGAGTAAATGTAAATTTTGCTGCCAAATTCCCAGATCATATTCTTTTGTAAGCACATAGATTATACAGTACATTTTTTGGAATTACAATGTATGCCACAGCCATGTATATCTGATGGAAATTAATGGAGGCATAATCATCTGGTTAATCAGCAAAGAACCTTAGATCCATGTCCTGAGACAGTAGGCTTTGAGCAGGAAATAAATGAGCAAATCCATACATGTGGCCTCAATTTTTAGTGATTTAATCCCAACATTGCTGATACCGGTTTAAGATTATCCCATCCTTTCTTCTAGAGCTGGTATATTGGATTGCTTAATGCATTGTAAGCCGCCCTGAGTCTCCGGAGAAGGACGGCATATAAATCTAATAAATAAATAAATAATAAACAAACAAACAAACAAACAAACATATGGAGATGACTAATATGAAATCAAATTTGTCCATGTAATCCAGAAACATCTGCTTTGACTAGTAACAGTTCTTCAGGCAAACACTTTACAATTGATAATCATAAACACATGGGTTTGAAGCACAAATTACCAGAATCATGTACTTGCAAGTATCAAATTGCAGTACAGATAGCCCTTGATTTACAACAATTCATTTAATGACCATTCAAAGTTACAATAGCACTGAAAAAAGTGACTTATTACCATTTTTCACATTTACAATGTAGCAGCATCCCCATGGTCATGTGATCAAAATTCAGACGCTTGGCAACTGACTCATTTTTATGACGTTTGCAATGTTCTGGGGGGGTTCATGTGATCACCTTTTGAGACCTCCTGACAAGCAAAATCAACAGGGAAGCCAGATTCACTTAACAACTGGGTTACTAACTTTTAACAACTGCAGTGATTCACTTAACTGTGGCAAAAAAGATAGTAAAATGGGATAAAACTCACTTAACAACTGTTTCACTTAGAAACAGAATTTTTGGGCTGAATTGTCATAAATCAAGGACTATTTGTATGAAAGAGAGATGTGTATCATGTCCAGTGAACAAGTTCTTTTCCATATGCTTGACACCAAATGGCTCATTCTGACCCACCTTTCACAGAGTAGTGTTGCCCTCTAAAAATACAGTTCTGCATGTGTTAGTTGAATTTCCTGGCAAAAGCATAATGCAAACAAGGACTGTGTTGGTGTTCCCTGACGTATATTTTGGAAACTTACATTGAAGTGTTATTCATATTTGGAGAGGGCATTGGAGACACAAAATACATATTTGTATGCTATAGATTGGCCTTGCCTGATAAAAACTTAAGAAAACAGGTTGTCTTAAATATTTGAAAATTATATCAAGTAATTTGACTTCTGAAATTTTATAGTGTCATATTTTAACATTTAAAATTTTTAATATTAAATTAATTTAAATATTTTAATGTTGATTTTATATGCTGTTTATATATTAACTACATAGTACATTACCCAAGTCCACTCCCTGAGAAATATTGGCGGTTAAGAAATAGGAAATATAAATAAATGAATGGCAGTGCCATTTATTATTTATGGACTCTTCTCCCCATATTTTTTTCTCATATTCTAGCATTCCTTCTGCTGCCCTCGACTTACTAGACCATATGCTAACACTGGACCCCAATAAACGATGTACAGCAGAACAAGCCTTGCAGAGTGATTTCCTAAAGGATGTTGATATCAGCAAGATGGATCCTCCAGAGTAAGTATCCTGCTAAAGGAAAAAAAAAACCCTCCCTTGGTTTACAAGATGGTTCAAATTTGGATGATAGCTTAGAATTATCTACCTTGTACTTCAGTCTTGATGTCTGCTTTTTCTTTGCACGTGCAAAAAGATGATGCTGGCCATTCCCTTTATTCCTGTGATATGTCTGCACGTAGCCACCTCCCACATTTTTGTGGGATCAAGGTCCCTGTGCAATCTGTTGGAGCTACAGGTAGATGAGGCAAGGAGAAAATTGTTTAATCAAAGAAAAAAATATATATGTCTAGATTCAAGCCACATGTTTTTCTGCAACTCCAAATTTTTATTAACTGAAATAGCCCTTGATATATATGCCCTCAGCTTTAAAAAAGGAGTGGTGCAATTCTTGTGGTTTCTATATAGCTTTAAAGCCTTTTGTGAAGTCTAAGACAAGATTTATTCCTCCTTTCATTCACTCATGCCAAATGACCTCCCTTTTGACTTACCATATTTTTCGGAGTATAAGATGCACTGGAGTATAAGACACACCTACCTTTTTTGGTGAGGAAAAGAAAAAAAGAAATCTGCCTCTGCCTCTGAGCAATTTTGCCTTGTTGCAGTAAACAGCCTGCTTTACTTTCATTTTCGTTTTCAGCATAGCTTGATTAGCACAAGGGAAAAAAAAAATCTGCTCCAGCAATTTTCTTCAGGGCAAGCAGCAGAGCCCTACGCAAAACAGCAAATCAGCTGAGAGTCATGAGGCCGATCCAATCAACTTGTGCTGAACTGAAAGGAGCTGTTTTTTCTTGCTGTTTGCTTGCAAGGAGGTAACTGCTGTGAGGCAGAGGCCAAATTTGGTGTATAAGATGCACCTAAATTTTCACCTCCTTTTAGGGGGGAAAAAGGTGCATCTTATACTCCAAAAAATACGGTATATAAGAATTGCTAACACATGAGAAAGAGTTTGTGTTGGACTATTGGGGTAAACTTCATCTAAAATGAGAGAAATACCAATAATTTAATATTAGAATTTTTTTTTCATTATTTGCACTTGCCATTATTGTCTCTAATGTTTGTATATTGTCTTTCTAGCCTCCCTCGTTGGCAGGATTGTCATGAACTCTGGAGTAAGAAACGCCGGCGGCAAAGGCAAAGTGGGATTGCGGTGGAGGAACCTCCCTTGGCAAAGGTTTCCCGGAAGGACACAGCTTCTGTAATAAGCACTGAAGCTAACAAGAATCATAGCAGCCCAGTACCCCCCCAGCCTGCTCAGATCAAAACACAACCTGGTGCTGGAGACACATTTGGTTAGTGTGTAACCTAGGAAAATCCTTCAAGGTTTAATTAATTGGCAAGATTTTTTGCTTTCTTAAATACTCGGAAATTCAAATCATAAGTAATAATTTTGAAAAGGGTTATGCATCATAGCATGAGAAAAAGGTAATTCTATTGAAAATACTAAATTTATATATTTATATCACATCTTCAATTAATTTGTTCTGAGATAGCTCTCAAGAAAATCAATTATAAGAAACCTAGCATAAAAACTTGTATAATAATATTTTATTATATCTTTAAATTATTATTATATATTCTATTATTAATATAATGTATACTTAAAACAGGAGATTATGATTAAAAGTATTGAATTTGGGTAGGAGGAAAATTGAATAGGTCCTTGTAAATCTATTTGGGAGGGAATTTTATAAAATGGACAATTTCCAAATTGCCTTTAGATGTACTTAGAATAGTACTTAGATATGTACTTTTTAAAAAACACATATGCATATTAGTAATATATTCTTTATAGCCAATTTTGATTAGACATTTCTTAGCTTTATTCCATCTTAATTGAAGTTTCTGGGTAGTTTTTGGAAATTTATACAATAATCATTTATTAAACTTATAGGCCATCTACTGGTAGCTGTCAATGACTGTGGGTAGCTCACAACAATCAAATTATAATAAAATTAATAAGAGAAAAGATAATGATAAAAGATTATCATTGAAGCACAATGTAGCAAGGAGTCTTACTCTCTATTGCCAAAGGCCTGGGTAAAGAGCTAGTAAATTTGCTGGATTTCATTTTAGCAGTCTTTTGATGGAAATCTCTTTACCATTTTACATGTGATGAATTCTCATTCACATATGTATATAATAAACAATATACATACAACGCATCATGTACTAACTTCAATCAATAGAATGTGTTTTCAGACAGGGTTTACTTGTGCCTGTTCAGAAGATCACTAGATCTTCACTAGAATATGTTGTTATTAAACATTGCTAATACATGTTTTTTGGGAGTACTGTGGCTCTGTGGTTACAAATGCTGAGCTTGTCAGCTGGAAAGCTGACAGCCCAGCTTTGAGACCTAAGTGCTGTACAGTGCGGTAAGTTCCCTTACTTGCCTCAGCTCTTGCCCACCTAGCAGTTTCAAAGCGTGCAAATGCAAGTAGCTAAATAGATACCTATTTATAGTGGGAAGGTAACAGTGTTCCCTGCCCCTTGGTGTATGTGACACTGGCCACATGACCACAGAAATGTCTTTGAATAATGCTGGCTCCCTCAGCCAAAAAACAGATGAGCACTGCCTTCTAAAATCAGACACAACTGGATAGGGGAAACCTTTACTTTTTAACTTTACCTTATTAGACATTTCAGATAAATATATAAACAAAGAAGAGAAAAAACAAAAGGGACAAAAAAGTAAGCAAGAGAGTTACAAATGATTTAGGGATGATAATTTTCCATAATATGTCCATGGAGATTCTCAGTCATCCAGGTCATGGTTGTTCCAAAGGTGCTTTTTTCATGAGGCAACCAGACTTTCTGGTTTTTCTATGAAGATGTTTCGCTTCTCATCCAAGAAGGTTCTTCAGCTCTGGCTGGATAGTGGGGAATGGAAGGATTTATACACCTTGCAGACAGCTGGTCATTTGCATTCTCTTAGCTCCTGGAGGTTTATCTGTGTCATCAGGGTCACTTGAATGGTGCAAATGGGTGTGGAACCTTCTTCAAACTGTTGAAAGGACTGTGTTGTAGATTGGAGATAGATGATGTCATATCCCTCCCTTTCTGTTGAGAGAGGGCTGCTCAGTTTTGACATAAATGGCTTCTTTAATACCTCTTTCAAGCCAGCCATCCTCTGTCCAAATATGGACTTTGTTGTCTTCAAAAGAGCGGCCTGTGTCTTTTAAATGAGGATGGACTGCTGAATCTAACTCCAGGTGACCTTAACGACCTGCTTAAAAGCATGAAAATGACCAGCTGTCTGCAAGAGTATAAATCCTTCCATTCCCCACCATCCAGTCAGAGTTGAAGAAGCTTCTTAGATGAGAAGCGAAATGTCTTCAAAGGAAAACCAGAAAGTCCAGTTGCCTCTTGAAAAAAAGCAGCTTTGGGATTTCCAGAATATAATTAACTGATTGTGAATAATAGAATATGTTATATCATTTTAAAAGCTTGAACATCACTCTTAAGCTCTAAGCAAAGCATACATATCTAGAAACATACTCAATGCAATATAAATCATAAAATGAAATTTATAAATCTCAATAAATTCAGTCCATATTATTAGAAGTTACTCTGCTTTAGAAGGCCTACGAAATTACAATATAGACTTTGCAGTCCTACTGACCATTGCTTGCATTTTATTAATAAAATTATGCAGAGAGGTATTTAAATTTTGCATGTGATAGAATCTATATATTGAATTATAATTGAAGAATTGTGTCCAGTTTGAATTAAATTCTGTGTCAGATTTACTTTTGAGATACACAATTATTTTAGTCATTGAGGCACATTCCTACAGTTAATTAACCATTGAAGGACTGTTGAAGCATCCAGTCCTAGTATCTCCTTTGTCTCCTTTGGTTCCTTATTTGGTGTATCACTGACTTTCCTGACATCTATCATCCACCACACTAAAATGAGCAAAATTCTGGAAACTGAAGACAGATGGGGCAAATGCACCGAGGGAGCTGAGGCTGCAATTCCAACAGGCAGTAGTGCAAATTAGCAGGTGTATAAAACTGGACCAAACAGAGGAATTTCCTTAATGGTATAGCCATATACAATAAAGGTGAAATGTGTGCCTTTCCGTTCTACAGTCTAGACTGATTCCTCCAAATTAGGGAATGTCAGTTTTCCTGAACTTCAGTTTTTATAATCTCCAGCTAGTAACATGAAGGCTAAATTCCAGATGTGTAGAGGATTCCAGATTGAGAGATGTTTCCATAGATTCAGCTCCGCAAGTAGGCATACAATCCATCCTGATATGTCAGGTGAGAAGCTGGGCTTATATGATAGTTCTCCCTCAAGCATTTTGAATTAGTATTACTAGTATTTTGAATTCTACTACTAGTATTTTGAATTACTCTGGTTGATATTTCTGTTTGCCCCTATGTATACACTCTATGTCCTTAGATTGCTGTGTCATTTATAATTCTTACATTAAATAATTTTAAAAATTATTTCTTGAAGGAAAAGAGGAGAGTAACACTAAAGGTGTCTGTAAGCAAGAGGTAGAGTTACATATAGACAATTTCCTGCTCTACTTTTTCTAAGGTCTTTTGCTTCTTTTTCTGTTCCCTGGTGCCTTGCCTCATGTTTTCAGCAGGTCTTGGTGACATCACACAGCAGCTGAATCAGAGTGAGCTGGCTGTCTTACTGAACTTGTTGCAGAGCCAGACAGACCTAAGTGTTCCACAGATGGCCCAGCTACTCAACATTCATTCAAACCCTGAGATGCAGCAACAGCTAGAGGCCCTTAACCAATCTATCAATGCACTCAATGAAGCCACCACCACTCAGCAAGTGCAGGATTCCCAGAAAGTGCCTGAAGAGGAAACAGCTGTTGAGGAACCAGGCCGTCTCTCTGAGGAACAACCCACTCCTGAAGCAGCAGGCACTCAGGGAGACATGCAAAGCGTTCTGGCAGTTTTGCTGAGCCAGCTAATTAAAACCCAAGAGCCTGCAACAAATACAGAGCAGAATAGCAGTGACAAGAACAGCGATCTACGGGGGCCGCGGAAAACCCCCACTTTGCCTCAGGAGGAAACTGCAGGTAAATAAATTGAGACACCCCCTTGCTCCTAGGACTTAAGGGGGAAAGATTATATGGGTCTTTCCATGTGGTAAATAAAAAAAACTTTGAATATTCTTTAACCAAGCCTGGTAGTCGTCTCTGAGTGTGTGTGGAATCTGGCGACAGTTTTGGGTTCCTGAAAATACTCGTCATAAGACCTTGAGCAAGTTGTGTACTCTTGGCCCTAGCTTCTCTCGTGAAAGAATTTTCAGGACATAAGGCTGGGAAGTCTTGGCATGTACCTTGTTAAATTGAGAAGTGATTGCTCAGATACTCTCTCATGTCAGTTTTCATGCACATGGAAGCTAGCATGGTACTGAGAAGGCTAGATCATAGTCCTCCTCATTACTGCCCTAGCTTTGTGCTTAGAAACCTTACAACTAGTCTTTAGAATGTTAGAAGAATTAAACCTATAATTAACGTTACTCTAATTAAATCTTTAAGTCCTTTATGAAGGTGAACTTAAAATAATTGCTGATCTGTGCTGAGGAAAGGAGTTCAAAAGAAGTCTGTTCTACATATGAGAGGACACAGATTCTCCCGCTGAGGCCTGCCCCATCATCTCACCCTTCTTATGAAAGAAACTACCACAGTCTAAAATGAAGTAGAAATGCCAGATACTTATTCTGAACTAGGCTAATATTGGTGGAGAGGGTCCATTCTTATCAGCTTCAATGGTTTGGGATATCTGAAGTAACTATGGGGAGAATTCCTATATTTTACCAAAATGGAAATGAGCAGCATATTGCTTGGTCTCTTGTACAATTGGATCATTATACATTTCTTCTTTGGGGTATTCCATATGGGTTTTGATTATGGGAAGGGTTATTGTATATTCTATATGGAACTTTGTTGTTTATATGATATTCTTCATAGTGAAAATAATATTTTCATTTGTTTAAAGGAGTATATTTAGCTATTTTCTTTTCAGAGAGTATTTGAAAATACATGAGCCATGACTGCTGAAATTTAAGAAGATGAAGGAGGGATTCAGCACCATTTTTTCTGGGGCTGGGGGGACGGACGGACAACTTCAGTACCCTGCCTAGATCTTTGCAACTAACTATGACAATTAGATGTATAATAAACAGTAAAAAACAAATAATTATCTTGTACATGGGTCCCAGAATTTAGATAAGTTTGATGGATAAATTTGTTTTGCTTTGGCTTACCTCTTTAAAAAAAAAGTTTTAAAGCACACACAGCTATCACCCTGACTGGCAGTGGCTCTCAAAGATCTCAGAACGAGAATTTTTGAGTCCTGCAGTATGCAATCCTTTTTATGTCTGATAATCTGGAAGTTATTTTTTTTTCAAAGAATGTTCTCTTCCCTAAATTTGCCCACTTCCTTTATATCTGTCTCTAAAATGTTTAATGTTTGTTCACATGTACTTATGAGATGGTATTTAAAAGAAGTAACCATTCCACAGCCTGTCCTCACATTCTCCCACCAGAGAAGAGACCCCCTGAGCCTCCTGGACCATCACCGCTGCCACCACCCAATCTGGCTGAAGAGAACAACTCTAATGCAGCTCAGGAGTTGAACCCGGCTATGACAGCCGCTCTCCTCCAACTTTTATCCCAGCAAGAGGCAGGGCTGCTGAGCCACCAAAAGCAGGAACCCCAAGTTGGGAAGCCCTCCTCGGAATACACCAAGTCACAAACTTCATCCAGGACTTACAGCACCGACGGGCCCGAGGGCTGCAACTTTGATGTTGATGAAAGAAATTCCATCCAGACTTTAACAGAGACATCATCCCCAACTGCGGGGAAAAGTAGGACCTTCCTGGGTTCCACAAGCCACATCAGGGAGCCCAGCAGTTACCAGAGCACAGGATCAGTTCAGTTCCCTGGGGACCAGGACCTCCGTTTCACCCGAGTTCCTTTAGCGATACATTCTGCCGTTGGGCAGTCCTTCATCAAAACTGAGGGGAGTAACAATACACTGGTACACTCAGAGGCCAACATTCATAACTACAATGAGGTGGGAGAAACAAATTCGAGTGACACAGGAACAAGCCACACGTGGGGAAACCCAGTCCAGTCCACTGCATATGGGAAAGCATTTCGTGGGCAGAATAGAGTACCTCCAAGAGGAGGAAGAGGGGAACCTTATTAAAATGACTGAAAGGTGGCATGAGGGGGGTAGTGTTTACTTTCTTATTCTCTTAACCTCAGAGCAACTAGTTTGATGGGCAAACCATTGACCACCTATTATAGAAATGGTTGATACTTTCCCCCCTTTTGCTCACTGGGCTGCTCTGTTTCTTTCCCCTCAGGGCTTTAGAGTGAAAATCTTTAGCCTTTTTGTGACATCATTCCATCCCCCAAAATCTACTGATTTGGGTTTGATGTGATGAGTTTTGCTACATTGACAAGTGTGTGGGGGGGAGGGAGAGGGAAAAGAAGGAAAGATTTCTTAGGTAAAAGAATAAATTGGAGACATGAATTGAATGTTCTTGTATGACTTGAGCTATTTCTGACAGCCCACTGAAGATCTGGATGAGATGAATCAGTGTCTTGGTCTATCTTTTTTGCAGAATGAAGTCTTAGAATGAGCTGTACTATTTCAAATAGCAGGTGGAGAAATCCACATGTGGAGTAAGAGACAGAAATGTTCCCTCTTGTAGGCAGAAAATTCAGCATATTATGGAGAGAGATAATAGCCCAGCATCCCCTTGGCTGTATTAATCTTTTTTCTAAAGCCAAGACTGCACCTTTCTGGGAAGAAGAATGCTTGAAAAGTGTAGTTCAGCACCATCAGTCACTCGGTCAGCTCATTCTACGGCTCATCTAGATCTAATCTCAGTATTGCAAAGTCCATACATGTTTTGTTTTTCCCTTGCCTTCTTGAATTTCAAGATTTGTCAGATGGTGCCTACATGCCTTTTATACTGAATTAGAAAAAAAATGTTTATGTTATGTAAGTCTTGGGATTTTTCCCTCTTCTTAGTTATTGTTTCTTTATGTGAAAAGGCAGGAGGCTACATTCTTCCAAGGGTAAGCTGTTCCCTGGTTTACTGTGAAAAGCCCTGTGCTGTTATACTCACTTCCAAACCTTAGCTGAACTAAGTTTCTGTAGTGAGTCCACTGAGTAGTGGATGGAATGATTTTTTTTAATTTTCTCTCTTAAGAATGGCAAGTGTCTTTTTGTTGAAGTTCATACAGCCTGAGTGAATGGCTAAAATAAAATAAAAACCAAAAACTTTGTAATTCTTAAATTCTTGGGGTGGAGGGTATTTAATACTAAAATGAAGGAAACCTGAATAGGTTTATTTTTTTCTCAGTCTTTAAAAGATAAGTGTTGATATCTCTTATATGATAAAACACTGTTTTCAGTGTTTGAGAAGACTTTTTGGAACATTCCTCAATAAAATGAGGATACTTACTTATTTTTAATTGTTCTATTTTTATTTTTTTGTTTTAGTAGTTTCACTCATACTGATTAATTTTCAATTTCAATTTTTTTTTATTCCTCTCCCCCACGTAGATCTTTGTAAAAAATTGCACTGGAAACTGTATAATGCTCCAAGATTTCAAAATGCAGAATTATGGAAAGACATAATTTCTTAGTAACGTAACTCCACTTCCTCCCACTTCCAATTCTTTGAAATGAGGGTTTTCAAAGACGCATGATAGAAATTGAAAGGCACAGCGAATTTTGGTATTTGCTATAGATCATTCATAAAAAAAACCTTTCATATTATAGAGAAGAAAAACTGCAATTTTTGGGGAAGCACACTGCTGCTGAGTATACCTTAAACATGACGAGGGAGTGATGTCATAATTGAAATTGAAACAAAGGGATGAGAGGGAATCATTTAGTATAGTAATTATACTAGACAAATACTGTCTTCTTTGTTCTGCAAAGTGTAGAAAGTTTGCAAAATTCCAAGTGTAAATTTTGTGTGTACTTTTAAATCTTCAGTTCATACTTAATGTGCAAAAAAAAAAGTATTATATGTGCAGAATATGGTAAATAAAAGGGAGGGTTTTCTCTCTCTGATCCCCCCTCCTTTATTATGCATTTTTCTTGATGTTTTTTTATGTTAGCAAGCTTAAACTGTCCTGGTATTCCAATTATGCCTTTGCTGTTCTCCATCCTTCCATATCCTTTCTATCCTTTCTTTTGTCTAAAGACAGAATTATCATTTAGCCATATGGCCATTCATTTTCTCTTGTATTCACCTGAAAGAATTTGAGCATCACAGATTCAATCACCTGCTTCAAGGTTTTTTCCCTACCATTGGACATGAAAGGCCAGATTAGGGACAGATTGCCATGGAGAAAATCTGTGTGGTGATTTAGAATTGATATCAATTTGAAGGCATGTAATCAAACTCTACAAACCAGAATTACACAGCATTTTGGATTCCAAAAGAAGTAGGTGCTTCAGAAAAATAACACTTTCCCCCCTGACATCTTTCAGTTGCCCTCTAGAATTACTGGTACTCTGTGATTCTGGGAAAAATGTATTTAGTTTAAGGAATGCTGCCATGTATGCACACTTAACGCAGTTCAAAGCACTTTTAAAAAACTTTTGAATTAGAAGCATAGCACAACCACTGTAGAAAGTTAACTTTAAGTGAAGAATTTGCTGTTGCAAATTGATTTGGAAGATATTTTTTCTTCTTTTAGAAGGGAGTCTTTTCAACTCCCTCTTTTTTCATGCTTTGTCATATGCAGAACAGGCTTACAGGGTTTCCAGAATACCAGTACCTAGTTTGGTACGTTGAATGAAGTAAGGAATTGCTTTGAATTTTAGTACAGTTAATGATACATTGGGAGGGAATTGAGAAAACGATTATTTTAGTTCCTGAATTCTCAACAACTATTTTGCCAGTTTTTATATAGATGGTTGCCTTGTTCATTTTAAAAATCTTCCATCATTGAACCATATTAAGATTTCTGAATTAGTGCTGTTCAGCAGAGATGTGAATTGAGTTCACCCTGGACCATTACTTTATTTCTCACCTCAC